CCAGTTCATATCTTTCTGGGCTTGACATGGCTGATGGTGTAGCTGAAACGCTCCTAACACTAAAAGCCATTTAATCTTTTCTCTAATAGGAGCAGAAAATAGTTAATCACCCACCTAGTAATATAAGATTACTCTGAATATTATCTTCTATACATTAAAACAGTTCTAGTTTGTAGAATAATACCATACAAGTTTTATTTTTAATTTCTAGTTATTTTCAGTGCTTACTTAAATGTAATTCTAGAATTCCTCCACAACTTTTAATATTTTGTATGCCAGTGATTCTCAAGATAAATCATGGTTGTAGTAGTTGTTACTGTTGGCAGTTTGTCGTAATATTCAGGTATTTGGGGATGGGGGAAAACACCAAAAATCAGTGTCTTTTATCTGGTGATCACTTTGGTGTCTACAGTATTCTAGTCTCCTGCACAAAAACTGAACCCACTGGGCCTATGCATCCCTCACATTTTTTTTCTAGTATAAAAGCAATACATATGTGTTGTAGAACAATTAAAAATTCAGAAAGTGATAAATGCGAAAATAAAAATAAATCCTTAATTCTGTCATCTTGGGGTACCTCTGCTAATATTTTATTGTCTTCTAATCTTTTTCTATGCATATATATTTTGTAGAGTTAAGATATATAAGCAATATGGATTTTTAAAAACCTTATTTTCCCCTCACTTAGCTTTATGTCATAATGGCCTGATAGTTTAGTTTTTTAAATTAACCTAATTTATAAAATCAATATACTTTTCAGTATAAATTATAGAAAATATTTATAAGCAAAAGAAATAACTAAAATTCTCATAATTTTATATCCATGAATAACTTCTATTAAAATCTGGTTTATATCTTTCTATTAATTTTTCTAGGAAGAAAACTTCCTAATATTAAAAATGAGATGACCCCGTACATCCTTGTACATCCTTTAGGGATATTTACCTAGTTCTCAAAAGCCGCATTTCTTTGGGTCCTTAAAGTCCACACTGGTACTGGATGTCATCTGGCCATAGTGGACTCATTCCTGGCACATCAGTTTTTTATTCTGAATGTAGATATGTCTAGAACTCTACTGTTGCAGAATTGGAACATAAGAGATAGCCATTTTCTGCCATGAGGAAGGAATCACCAAGAAAGCTGGTCTGCAATGAAAATGAAGAATGAAATCGACATAACAGGAGATGTAAAATGAATGACATAGAAAAGATCCAGTGGCTTTCCTTTTCCTTTACAGAGCCCTACTGCTCACCCTTATCCCATTATCCTCATAATCTTACCGCTTTTTCTCCCTCAGCTATCTTGAATTGGTTTCTTATTACTTTTAACTGGAGGATCTTAACTAACACAACAGTTTATCTTATTTCAGTTATGATATAAATATGTATTGACAATTTTAATATCTCTGAATATATTTCTGTAACATTTAGTATAGCTATATGGCTACCATCCTATGTATGTATCATAAAGTCTTAGTCCTTTAGGTTTTGATTTTCAGGGTTTTAAAGTTATAAATAATTTATCAAGGAATATATTGTTGCTAAATGTAGGGACTCGAGCTTTTGTTTTCTCTTTAGTACAGATTGCTGAGTTAAAGGGTATGTATAGTTTTTAAAGCGCCTTTCATGTGCATTGCCAAGTTGCTTTCCAGAAAAATTTTATCCATATGTAACTCCATCAGCAATGTACAGAAAGGCCTCTTTCTTCACACCCTTGGCCAGCATTGGATGTTCCTTTTCTAAAAAGTCTTTTATCCCAATAGATTTTGACAAATCAGGAGGTCCCTTTTCTGAGCATTCTGGTTTCACATGGCTTATGGGCCCACCCCGTGCTACAGGTTTGTTTGTTTTTGTTTTTGCTAAATAGGAGTAACTGAGTACCCTGCACCCACCAAGAAATCTTCCACTTCCTGAAAGCTCTAAGGTAAAGATAATTAGCTGAATGCTCTGTTATAACAGGATGGAAAAAGAAATGGTGGCCTCAGGTAGCCAATCCACCAAGTCTCTCCAGGTAAAATTACATGGGTTTTGACAACAAGTTATGTTACCTTTCATAGATTGTAATTTTAAAATGATAATAGTCTGGGTGGACAGTATTTTCTTGGTTTTTTTCTAATAGTAACTTATTGTGGGCTTAACTGTATACCAGTGTTCTGTACTAAATGCTTTATATTACATCACTTAATCTTCATACCAAATTTGTGATATAATTTCTGTTGTTGGCCTTGTTTTTGTAGAGTTCTAGGAAATTACCCCAAAGTCACTCAGTGAGTGGTGGTGGTGAGGGGCTGGAGAGGGATGATGAGAACAGGCAGGTCCCCTGACTCCTGCCAAGCGTGGCTGCCCCACCGTGCTGCCTCGTTCCAGTTGTCTTCCCTTTCATCCTTCCACATTTCCAGTCATTCATGTCCATCCTTTAGGGACAATGGATACTGGAAAAAAAAAATCAAAAATTTTACATGATTTTTGGATTCTCCAGACCAAATGCTAACACCTGCCACCTAAAGGTGAGTCCTATTGCCCATCCTTCAGCAGTGTAAATTTTCTAAAGGGTCTTTGGCATTTGTGAGTTTGGAGAAACTTCAGTTGAGGACAAATCCTTATTATTAGGTTAAATATGCTTCTTGTGTGATTGTAATAGTTGCTTACTCTGAATGAGAGATTTTTGATACTAAGAAAACAATAAAAACTGTCACAGCCTATCATTTACTTTCCTACTGTCATATACTGAATTTCTTGTGTCTGTTTTCAGGATTGAGCTAAATCCTGATTGATAAATTGAGACATATGTCATCTTCAAAATTATGAAAAATCACTAGGTGTTTTCTCTGACAGGGAGGAAGAAGCAGTGTTTTCATCAGTTGTGATTGTGAGGCCCTTTTGGAGTTTTATTTGGAAGTTATTCTAAGTGTCTGCAATGCAGAGATATTGGTGTTGCCCAGGAATTTGCATTGGCCGCCTTCCCACCCTGTGCATTCCAGGTAGAAGGAAACAACATAACAGTTTGAGGGGGTTGCCTTTGTTGTCAAACATATATCTGAGCTTTGACTTTGCCACTTACTAGCTTTCTAACCTGGGACACATTATTTCACCTCAGTTATTTAAGTGACAGTTATCTGTAAAATGATAGTAGTTTCTATCTCATAGGGTTTTGATGAATAAATGAATTTTATCAAGTGCTTAGCGTAGTATCTGCCCATAGAAATTGCACAATAACTAAGGACACTTACCATCTCTCAGGTGTATTGATGACTCCCAAATCAATCTCTCTCCCTAGTATAGTCCTAGCTGCACACAGGACTTCTACATTGGCAGCCTAAGCTGAACCTCCTCACCTTCACTGTCTCTGCTTTTTCTGGAGTCTTCCTCTTGTTGATCACATCACCTTCCACCCAGTTTCTACACTAAATACCTGGCTGTCATCCTAGACTCTTTCCTTCCCCTCCACTTCTGATCAGTCCACCTGTCCATTCTTTTCCCCTAACATAGAATTCATCCCATTGACTGTCTTTTACCATCACTGCCTTAATTCAGGCTTTCGTCTCTTGTGAATAAAATCATAGTGGTTTCTCTTAAACATAGGCACTTTCTGGACTGCCTACCTGTAGGTGTTTAATTTTTCAGGATGTTTGGCTATAAAAAGCTAAAAAGCTGCTAATAGCAATGTGTTATTTGATTGACTTTTCTTTCCCATGTGGTTTTGGTTTCACTACTTCCTCTTTTTGTATGCTTTTATCTGTGTCCTGTGTACCTTAGTAAAATTGGCAGTTTATGTCTGCACGACTTATCTTGCACAGCTGTTCAGGGTAAGGAGAGGAAGTTGAACAAGGAAGAAGATAGTAGTAGGAGCAGCAGGGGGATGGCTCTGCCAAATGACTCAGCTGCTAGTGAGGGCCTCTGAAATAAAGTTATTGGTTCTTACTGCTTTGAAGAGTAAAGTTTGCTTTGATGCCTTACCCTTCATTGTGTGAGGGTTGAAAAAGATTGTTTGAAACTACTGAAATAATATCCACATAAAATGTCCATGTTAGTAAGGACCGTTCTAAGTGGTTGTTTGGTTAAGCAAAAACTTTAAGGGGGTGTAGGTGTAATTTGAATGCAGAATGTTCCAGGAAGATCAGTGTGGAAAGTGGACCTAGAAGCAGAATTGCTAGATAACAACTAAGGATGGGAAGTGGGGGAAGCACATGGGAGGGTTCCCCAGCTTCTACTATTCTCTGTGGATTAAATTTTGGAGAGTATAGTAACAGCTGAAAAAGCAATGGAAATGTTCTGATTTTTCTTGGGTTATTCAAATCATGATTATTTGGAAAACCGTGTGTGGTTTTTAAAAACTGATGTGGGTAACTTTGTCAGCTTTTATTTTTATTAGAAACCAGAACATAAATGTAATTTCAACTGTCATAGGCCCTAGATCAGCGGAAGAAATTGCCTTTGTTTTTTGTATGAAATAATAAATGCTTCATGGGATACAGGGAGTTGAAAGAGTTGAGAAGGGTATTTAGTGTCATTCTTGAGTTTATAAATTAGAATTCCACCTATTCTGGATGAGGCTTTTTATGGCCAGGATTACCTTCAGGAAACATGGATGTGGAATGACACCATATCACTGGCTTTTATTTTTAGGGTTGTTGTTGGAAGAGGAGGATGTGTCTTTCAGTTAACTTTTCCCCGTTGTCATTGTTACATATTTATGTTTGAAAATTCATTTTTAATGGAGCATTTTCATATTTCATAGCTTTACTTTATAATACTTGAGATGTTTTTTCCTATTTATAATTGTGTTGATGCTTCTTCAAGGAAGAAATACGTACTTGACATTAAAGATAACACAGATAGGGACATATATGTTACTAGTGAATGGAATAGTTTAAAATACCTGAATATCTTTTTCCCATTCATCAATATTACATGTAAGCTAGTTAAAATAAATGTTGACTGATTTATAGGTATTTTCTTGATCAGATTATACACATCATATTGAAGCCAGTATACTCAGACTTGAAAGCATAAGAATGAATTTGCAAAATCTGGTTTAATTAAGATCTGGGGAGGGGAGCACATTGTGAAAATACATATGCACAGGAACCGAATCAATGCTAGACAAACAATGTATTAGTTTACAATATAATAGGATAATTACAAGTTTGAAGGCTCAAATTGAGTCCATCAGCTGTAAATACAACTTTATATTTGGCTCAAGTGGCTGCTGAATATCAAATGGTGCTGAGTTCCTCCAAAGCACCTAATGACCCCCTCAGCCTTGGAAGGAGTTTCACCACAGTCTCGGAAGAAATCCCAGTCGTGCCTTTGACTCTTTTGGCCCTTGGAAGTCATTGCAACCCCAATACAAATGCCGGCCAGGGATTTCCAGTGGCCACAAGTTATTGCACAGAGAGGTCTGTTCTAAGTCAGACTCTTACAGCTAAGGAGGTGTGAGATTAGCCCTTAAATAGTGGTCTAGCATTAGCATGGTCTATAAAAGCATGTTAAGAAATAGCTCCTCAGTGATTATGTACCAGCTACTAGTTATCTTACTAAGAGAAAAGGCAACATGGCAGCTTCACATTTCACATGAAAGACTAGCATTAACTGGGCCTGGCTTGCTGGCTTAACCTTGACATATGCTAGTGATTATTTTAGACCCAGGAGAAAATGATTTCATACCAGTCTTTTCTTCACATAAGATTTGTGTAGCATTAAAATTACAGGTTACTGAATAAGCCATGAAGGCAAAAATGTGGAACTCTCCTTTGCCAAAACAGAAATATTCCTGTTTTGACTCCTGTCCAGTTTCCAAAACAACAAAACATACATACACCTTTGTTATTGCACATCTTTCACACGAACTTGTGTATGTATAATATACATATATATTTTTAAATATGCTACACATAAAAAAAGACTATGGCACTTTACAGAATATATGTTTAACAAAGATCATTACACCACAGATGTTTGAAAACTATAAAAAACCCTTACACAATTAATGCAACATTGTTTGAATTATCAGCACACAGGTTTAAAAAATCCACAGAATCCAAGGCAAATATTTCTGCCTCAGAGTACACTGAGAAGCGCAGCCCATCCCATCCTGTCATGAGACTTTCTTTAAGCACAAATTCAGGCAAAATAAATAAGACTATCCTGGTAGTAATAATGGTCCTATTTATTAGAAAAATAAGTGTGGGCCAACAATCTATTTTTAACATTTCTTACTAGCATATTCCTCATACCCAGTGGTTTTTAAACAGCTGTGTGGAAGAGTATGGTTTAGACTTGCACGATATTAGATGGTCCTTTCACCCCAAGCCTGGCTAATGAATTCAAGGTTTAAAAGTCCCAACATTACCTTTTTACTATTTACTCAGTGTTTAGGTAGTTTTTAGTGGTTTGGGGTTTTGTGTGTGTGCATACCTGTGCTTTTGTCTTCTGTGTGTTCAAATTAATAACATAAACACTGTCAAGTGACTTTATTATGGCCAAGAAGTCACACTCCCTTGTGACTGTTTCCAGGTTGATCTAGAGGTACACTGCCGCCTTAGCCAAAGAGCAGGTGATGGACATGCTCGGAGGATCCTCTGAGCTTAGGACTTAACTTGTAAGGACACTGAGATTGTAAACCTACTGTCAGAAAATAGTTTCTCTATCCCAGAAAGAAAAAAAAAAAAGTGAGTCTTCTGATAAGTTTATGGAAAAATTTTGTGTTTTCCATCAAGATTTGTCTGATGAATGGGATTGCTTTTAATGAAAATTATTGCCAAGGTTTGAGACTTGGTTAGAACATTACAAATGTACACACAGAGACAGGAGCTTTGTCCAGTGGCTCCTCCAGCCTCTTTCTGGGTGGTGGTAGAGATATGGTTAATGTTTCCTAGGCTGCTATGAAGATACCCGTTTTTTTTCTTCACCAAAATCACAGGATTTATATCTCGCTCACTTTGAATTTTGGTTCAGGAATGGGAAACTCATTAAGGCCTAACAAACACCTCCCACCCCTTTTGCCCTTAGCCCTTATCTGTGAGATAAGATGGTTTCTCATATAGGCCCAAAACCAGAATGCAGTAAAACTTTAGTTGTCCCATTCCATCTCTGTATAATTATCTGTTCTGCACCACCATATGGTGCTTTAGACTCAGACAGCTTTAACATGATTCACTTGGGGCAAGGTTGCAAAATCTGAACCAGGGTTGTATAGCTGGTAGCACTTAACACACAATACCTTGTCCACAGAAGGTACTTTTTCAAAACAAAGTCCTCAAGCGAGCAGATTAATGAACCCAAAGACCTACACTTTTTCCCCTTCCAGAAATCTCTTAAAGTGCTAAGGAGTGTTTCTGTATCATGATACAATTTTGAAGCTCCCATAATGTCAGAGTAGCTTGTTTCTGCGATGCCCTGGTCATTCTGAGATACTGTCTTCCTGAATCAGTGATATTGGTAATTAGGAAAGTAGTTTAAAAGCCCCTGAATCCTTATTCATAGTGGTATTTATTTGATTCTTTTTGTAAACAGGTGTAGGCAGTGCTGTGACCTTGATCTAGCTCCTCTTTTTGAATTAACTTTGTCCTCTGTACTTTCCTGGAATTAATTAAAGTCTCAGCTGCAGTTCTTCAGTTGCAGCAATTTAATGTTATCTCAGTCTGCTTTCAGGATCAACACCAGTAACTACAGAAACTTAACTCCCACAACTAGCTTCTTTTTGTTGTAGAATGCCATTCTGCTACTGTCGGGATTGGAAATAGAGCTGACTACAGCATGGTCACCAAACAGGGAGGAAAGGGCTCCCCGCAAGTGCCGAGATTCTGGCAAGTCCTCCCAGTGAACATCTGAATGAGCCGCAGCTGGCTTGGAGACCTCAGTCCCTGGAAGGAGGAAACAGAGTGAGGTTTCCTTTTGGCAGTCAAAGCACAATCCTAACCTTAGGAGAAAAACATGTGATCTCCAGAAGAGGACACTGGGCCAGAACTGGTGCTAGCCTGGCTGCTGGGAAGAGGAAAAAATATGTCTTCACTAGCAAGATTTCATATTTATTTTTGTTCTCATATGATTGTATAGGTCCTTATTGTTTCTTTACTCAAATTTCTAAAATCTCTGGAGTGACAGTTCAGTTGATCCACCTTACCCTAGGATTCAGCCTAGAATAAGTTCCACAGCATGACTCCACACCACCCCTGCTGACCCCTTTGGTCAGCTAAGCAAAAGACAGTATCTCGCTGTGCCCTTTAGCAAACACATCCTGTCCCCAGTAAAATTTATAGTTTTTTGTTCGTCTCCAACTGAGATGGCCTTGAAAGAACAGAGGAAAACAAAAAATCCAACCCAAAACCCCATTCTGAGGCAGAGATGCTCACACACAAGCAGCGCTGGAGCAGAAGCAGCCTGCAAATCTGGCGGATGGTCTCTTCCTTTACCAGAGAAACTGCTGCCCTAATGATTTACATTATTATCCTTCATTGAACCTGGGGGAGATGGAGTCTGACAGAACTTGGTAACTCCAGGTCAGGGATTATATACTATTTTCATGTTCCATTCCTTATGTCCACTGCAGACCGCACGTCCAGTAACTTTGCGTAGCTGGATGTGGCCTCTCACTGGTCCTGTTTAAGCCTCGGGCTGTGGAACGTGGCTTTGGTAGGTAAAGGTTGGTTCTCCACTTGACTCAAATGATGAAACTGTGAACTGTTTCACAAGATTACTCAAGGGAGAAAATGGCATTAATGTCTTTTCCAAACTAAAGGAGGCAGATCAGGTTTTTCCCCTCTTCAATTTCTTCCTGTACTTTGTCACTGGAGGTTGCAATTTCTGCTTGTGCGGAGAAGACAGCACAGATGAAAGTGAGGACTGTGCCCCCGATGGCGGTATAAAAGGCCCAGCCCAAGGAGCAGTCTCCAGGTTTGTAGGCAGATGCATAATGTCCACAGTAGTCTATGGCCTTCTGGCAACCCCAGCCAGCAGGGTAGAGTATCAAACCAAGGATAAGGAATAGACCTGCAGAACAAAAGAGAAAACAGGTTAGAAAATCCCCATGGTGCTACACTGTCCAGATCTGATGTAATTGTTACTTGATTTGCTTGCTTTGGGCAAGGGCATCTATTCTGCAACAGAAAGTGTTGGGACTGTTTCATGCAACTAATGTGACCTGATCAAGAAATAACACATTATTAGAAATATTTTCAGCCACTTTTTTACATGTTGGAATGTGAATCCACTAAAAATTTCTCTTCTAGAAAAGCAAATTGTTACTTTTCTTCTTCTTAAGACAGAGTCTCAATCTGTTGCCCAGGCAGGAGTGCAGTGGTGCAACTGTAGCTCACTGCACTTGAACTCCTGGGTTCAAGCTATCCTCCTGCCTCAGCCTCCCAAGTAGCTGGGATTACAGGCACCTACCACCACACCTGGCTAAGTTTTCGTTTAAGTAGAGATGAGGTCTTGCTATGTTGCCTAGGCTGGTCTCAAACTCCTAAGCTCAAGTGATCCTCCCACCTCGGCCTCCACCATTCGTGGCCAACTTGTTACTATGTATTCCCACAGGGCTTTTGGTGCACTGAGCATTTCTCTTTTGGTCTAAGGCAGATGTTGGCAAACTAAGGCCCTCAAGCCAAATGTAGGTTTACAAGTAAAGTTTTATTGGAACACAGCTGCAGCCATTTTTGGATGCCTACGACTGCTTTGCTATGGTCTGCAAAACCTAAAATATTTACTGTCTTTCTGCAGAAAGCGTTCGCCAACTCCTGGTATAAGCAAAATTCACACAGAACCACCTGATGTCAGCCTGATTAAATGCAAGAGCAAGGGCCAAGAGGGAGACCAGGTCTTTACCTGATTTGTTACAAATTGCAAACTTTGTAAGGACTTTCTGTCTGTGTACTTTTAAGAGAGTAGACACTAATAAGCTTTACTTCCATTCTGCTGACCCTACTACCTTGTAATTTTAAACACCTATTTTCCTGTTCTTCACAGCATTACTGCTCACTATATAACCAGAATGCATCACTTGAGTTATTTTTCATGCCTAGTCCCATCAGAGCTAGGACTAGGGTGAGGCACAAAAGGAGTCGCTTGCTGACCCTCAGGTATCAGCCCTGTGCCTACAGTGGGTGCCTCACCCTGGCTGCCAGTCACAAGACAACAGCTCCTCCCAAAAAAGCCAGAGGCCTGAAATGACAAAAGCAGCCTAGGCCCCCCAGATTTTACTCAGCAAAACTTTAAAACTTTCTTGGTAACAAATCTTTAGGCCAGGTGCAGTGGCTCACGGCTGTAATCCCAGCACTATGGGAGGCTGAGGTGGGTGGATCACGAGGTCAAGAGAGTGAGACCATCCTGGTCAACATGGTGAAACCCTGTCTCCACTAAAAATACAAAAATTAGCTGGGTGTGGTGGCATGCCTGTAGTCCCAGCTACTCGGAAGGCTGAGGCAAGAGAAGCGCTTGAACCTGGGAGGTGGAGGTTGCAGTGAGCTGAGATCGTCCAGCCTGGCAAAAGAGTGAGACTCCGTCTCAATAAAAAAAAAAAAAAATTTATATATGTATTTATTTATATATAGATACATTTTAAAGGCCTTTATTTCACCTGCAAGATACTGCAAGAGGAGGAAGAGGGCTTTATCCTATGTGGAGGGGAAAAATGTTTTCTCTGGAAAATTCAACCTATGTAATCAAGAATGCTTGATTACAAAGTTCCCACTTTTTAGATACCTGGGAATATCAATTCTACACTTATTAATTAATCTTGACTCTGAGTTCTGTTTCTTTACCTACCTTGACTGAAATTCTCTGGGTTTATCCCACCAAAGCTTCTAAGTCATTTACAGCAACTTCCCCACAAAGAAAACATGACTCACTTTATGGCAGTATGAGGCTTGAAGGAAGACTGGGGACAGTGTGTCAACCCACACATCACAACTTTGATAGTGGTCTTCATCCTATGATGGTGTCCAGCTTGGCATGTCACTACAAGGGCATTTGGGATCTCAGTGTCCCCACCCCATCACATTGTTCTTCTCAGATGGCCTCAAGGGACTTTGTAGCAGGGGTGGAATAGAGGGAATCCATTCAGATGCTGTCTGAAGAGGGGTGATTCACAAGGAAGTCTTTCTAACCCCATGGCCCCCTCTACAGATCTGAGTGGTGGGAACCCAAGAGGCAATGAGTTGTAGCAAGGAAATGTGATTGGTGCTGGGAAGATGAAGTGAAGCTGGAGAGAGGCTGTAAGAAATGACCAACAGCCAGTGCAGACTCTTGGTCCTCCAGAATATGGAAGGTCCTGAACCAGCAACGAAAGGGTAGAAATCAAGCAGCAGAAAAGACCCCATAGTCTAGTGCAAGGGCAGGAGGCTAGAACACAAACCAGAAATATGGTGGACCACAGCAGAGACTCACCAAATTAAGAGGTGATTCTGTTAATAGTTACGAGCTCTGACTTTAGAGTTTGAATCCGGGCTCTGCCCTCTTTGGGCTGAGTGAGTGACGTATGATTCTTCACCTGTAGAATGGACTAATCCATCACTTATAGGTGGCTGTGAATCGTGAAGTCTGTTCTACCATTGTAACAAAACTGGAAACAGACGAGCAGCCTGAACACAGGTCACGCCCTTGGCAGGCCCCTCCCACACAGAAGCAGACCAGCTTTTGTTAAGGGCATATTTTGAGAAGTATAATGATTTGGGGAGAGAAGAGACCCCCAGGCTACACTTTAGTACTCTTGAAAAAATATTCTCCATCTGAACAGAAGTTTATTCAGCTGAGATCTAAAATGATTTAACCAATTCTTAAATATTTCTAAGGCCTATAATAAACCCCAATTACTCTTGTCTGCATCCCACTTTGTTCCCTATGAAGTACCCCACTAGGTATGATGGGGACGTTAATAGTTTTCTTCCTCCAGGTCCTAAGGTGCCACTCTGGTGTACCGTCCCTGGGCCTTCTGTACAATGTCCCCCAGCCCAGCATGCAAAGGTGTTTTTGGGTGTGCTGCAGCCTCTGCCCTAAAGCTCGGAGGGTAGGCCTGAGGTGGAGCAGCATTAGCTGCTCTTTCCTTTAAAAGATCAAGTGTTCATATGTTTTGTTCCAATTCAACATTAACTGCATGTTTCATTTGTATTATATGTGGCTTAAATGTAAAATGAATGCATTTTATTATTTTTTATTATACTTTAAGTTCTAGGGTACATGTGCACAACGTGCAGGTATGTTACATATGTATACATGTGCCATATTGGTGTGCTGCACCCATTAACTCATCATTTACATTACGTATATCTCCTAATGCTATCCCTCTCCCCCACCCCCCACAATAGGACCTGGTGGTGTGATGATTCCCTTTCCTATGTCCAAGTGGATTCATTGTTCAATTCCCACCTATGAGTGGAACATGCCGGTGTTTAGTTTTCTGTTCTTGCGATAGTTGGTGAGAATGATGGTTTCCAGCTGCATCCATGTCCTACAAAAGACACGGAACTCATCCTTTTTTATGTGCATAGTATTCTATGTGTATATGTGCCACCATTTTCTTAATCCAGTCTGTCACTGATGGACATATTGGGTTGATTCCAAGTCTTTGCTATTGGTGAATAGTGCCGCAATAAACATACGTGTGCATGTGTCTTTACAGCAGCATGACTTATAATCCTTTGGGTATATCCCCAGTAGTGGGA